ATCGAACTAGTCAACGAATACACCTGGTATCCTCTACGGATACTGGTAACAGACGCTATGATCCCGTTGCGGAACTAACAAAGAATTTCCAGTCTCATCCTTATTCTGGAAGTCCAGGCCAGCTCTCTGGTGCTGGATGAACTCAGGAGGAAATGTTTCAGGGGAACATGGCTAGTTTACACTGACCGAAGATAAAGTCAGACAGTCACATGGCTTGCCTTTGGCAAAGAGTCATGTGTGGAACAGAGCGGGGAAGTCCCCAGTGCCTGAGACCTTACTGAGTGCACAGCCGTATGCAAGCAGCTTTCCTCCCTATTCCTCTGCAAACCATCACAAGATGAATCTTCTTCTTTTTCTTTTTTTTTCTGAGATTATAACATAGTTGTGTCATTTCTCCTTCGACTCCCTCCCTCCAAACCCTTGCTCTCTTGTTAATTCAAGGCCCCTTCTTTCATTAGTTGCCACATGCCACCAGGCCAATCTTAATGCCTGCCTCTGCTAGTGGAACCAACGGCTGGGAAGCCTTTGGCAACTGACCCTAAACTCTACTTGAAACCTACACAGATAACCCACAGGACACACATGCAGTAGCCCGTATGTACTGGGTATGGGATCTCTGGGGCTCCAAATCTTTTAGATTCTTTACAGAGAATGTTTATCTTGCATTCTGAGGCCATAAAATGTGAATGCACTCATTAAAAGAATGATCCCCCCCACCAGGTGAATTATTTAATATCCAAATGTGCCAAAGCACTAACCTCGGGCAGCATTCTGATTCCAGGGGAGAGAAAAGGCGGGGTTGATTACTAAGAACTTCCTGCACCTTACTTCCTTGAGGTTTGGCATGAAGACACTGAGAACTACTTTGATGCTGAAAAGGGAAAAATCATAAAATTATTGCATGAGAAATAGCCAGTCAGTGGAGGTGGTTGAACGGTAGCTGCTGGCCCTATGGCTTTTTAAGGGAGTTAACTTCTGAATAGTAATCAATGGGTTGGACCCATTAAGATGATTGTGGAATTTCAAAAACGGGCCTATCAAAATGAATGCAAAAGGTTTAGCCATGGCCTGTGCATCATTTGGTTGAGTAATCTAAGGGTCAACTTATTGAAACATATTTGTAAAGTTTAGACTGGGTTTAAGGGAAGAGGCCAAAATGAAAAGAATTTATACCTTGCATGTAAGATCACTCCCTGGGGACCTTATTTCATGAGGTCCCATGCCAGTCCCTCTATGCCATCACACGGGCCTCTGAACAGCTGCCAGACAGCTGTCCTTACTGTAACGTTGAGGTCATCCAGTCAGGTGGAGGATCTACCTGTAGGTAAGTTGTCACGTAACACATTCTGAAATCCCAGCCAGCATGATTAAGCAGACATGTGGGCAGGCCACACCCTGACTGTTTGATTCTGGAATAATCCTGCTAACCCAGGCAGAAAGGCTGTGGACCTATCTGTGAGAGTCACGTCTACTACGCAGCCGCAAGAATACAAGAACAGGGCAGCTGTGTGAAGAGAGGATACAGTGGGCCCACTCCAAACGCCTGTCCTGTGAGTTGGCTCCCAGAAAGATCAGACTGTCTGTACCTTCTGCTAGCCAGCAAGTCAACTGACAGTTTTCTATTAATGGTGACCCAAGTTCAGCTCTCTTAGCATGTGTGTTGGGGTCTCATAATCTTTTGTAACTCCAAGTTTAGGGAACAATATGTACTTTTCTGGCCTCTGGAGCTACCCCCACACACGTAGCACACATATACATACCCACATACACCTAGAAATGTCTTTTTTAAGTGATGAAGTTTCTACTATACAATCAAAGATTTTCTAGACGTGAAACAGCTTTCAATTTTCTGCCATCGTCAAGGGCCTTAAACAAACTATGATCCTCTAATAAGCAAGTATGCTAAAATGATATCCATTTGGGCTTATTCATTATAGTGCTGCTGTTAGGTAAGAATATATGCTCATATGGAGTGACAAGCCAGCCCGCACGCCATCTGCTTTTGAGTTGTTTGGTGATGGGGGAGTGTGTACGTGTGTGTGTGTGTGTGTGTGTGTGTGTGTGTGTGTAAGAAGAAAGTGGCAGAGAACAACAAAGACAGAGGGAAATGGAATGGAGTAGGGGATTATACCAACAGGTGCTGAATTTAAGTGAGATAGTGTATGACCGTTTCTTGTACTGCTTTTCAGCCCTCATGGGGACTTAAATGTTTTTCTAAAATTTTCTTCAGCCCAGACAAATAACAAGCAATTCAGTTTGCGTTGGTTTTAAGTGTGAAGATTACTAAAGACTCTGGCTTCACCCTTGTTTTCCTCAATCATAACTGCCAGACAACCATCACGTAACTCCTGGGCTTTAAAATTCCAAGTCCAGGGTGAGCCATAAGCGTCCATCCAATTGGTGCAGTGTTTGTTCAGGGTGTACAGCACAAATAGGCTATTGGCATGAGGGTGGGTCCTTCTCTCCTGGGATGGACGTACAGACATCAGGAAAGTTGTACATCAAACATGTAACTCCAAAAGTTCCAGGAGAAGGGATAGGAGAGGAGATGTGGTCCAGACTAAAGGAGATCAGCAAAGGGATACTCGCTCAAGCTCTGGCTGAAAGGTTCCCAGGAGTGGAGGCCCAATACGACCTCCAAAATAGATGATAGATAGATAGATGATAGATAGACAGACAGACAGACAGACAGACAGAGAGAGAGATAGATAGATAGATAGATAGATAGATAGATGATAGATAGGTAGGTAGATAGATAGATAGATAGACAGATAGTTAGACAGACAGACAGACAGATAGACAGATGATAGATAGATAGATAGATAGACAGACAGACAGGCAGATAGACAGATGATAGATAGATAGATAGATAGATAGATAGATAGATAGATAGATAGACAGTTAGACAGACGGACAGGCAGATAGACAGATGATAGATAGATAGATAGATAGATAGATAGATAGATAGACAG